CGTTTGTCTGAGAAAAGGGCAGCTGTCTCTGCGTGCATTTGCTTGTACCTGCACAAAGTGTGAGCATGGCATGTGTCTCACTGGGAAGGAGAGAGGGACTCACCAGCCACCTTGAGCAGGGGCCTGGGTGTTGGGGGACGGGTGGGGCTTTCCACAAGGGAGGCTCTGAACACATTTCTGAATTTTGAAATTTTCACCTACTCAAAAACAAATTGGGGGAAAGGGTATAGCTCAAGTGGTAGAGATCATGCTTAGCATGCGTGAGGTTCTGGGCTAAATCCTCAGTACCTCCTTCAGAAATTAAGAAAGAAAGAAACCTAATTACCACCCCCCCCAAAAAACAAACAAAAAAAACCCAAACAATAAAATCAATGGGTTGAAAATTTAAACAACAGCAACGAAAATTAGATTAAAAGCTGAAGGCCTGGAGAGTACGCAGACAACAGTGGACGGTGCTGCTCGCCCTGACCCCTCAGCCCAAGCAGCTTCACATGTGCCACCCAGTGGGAGCCCTGGCAGCGAGCATGTGACTCCAGAGGGGTGCAGTGTTTCACATGAGGGCGTGGCCGGCCGGCACCTCCTCTGCACTCAGCCCAGTAGCCAGGGCTACAGGGGAGCTGGGAGAAGCACACGTCCACTGTGCACCTTCCTCAAGGCCTGCTGTGGGGTGAGTTGTGTTTCCCCAAATGAATGCTTTTGAAGGTCTGAAATCCTAGCCCCCAGCACCTCAAAATGTAGCCCTGTTGGAAACAGAGTGGCTGCAGGCGTGAGGTCATGTTGGGTAGTGTGCATAGCTAATCTCATATGACTCCTGTCCTTAACAAAAAGGGGGAAATCTGGAACAGACACACATACACAGGTCGAACGCCAAGTGAAGATGAAGGTAGAGACTGAGGTGGTGCTTACACAAGCCAAGGACACCAAAGATGCCAGCAAACCCCCAGCAGCTGGGAGAGGGCCTGGGACAGAGTCCCCCTCTTGGCCTCGGAGAGGAACCAGCCCTGCCCATGACACCTTGACTGTGGACTTCCGGCCCCAGAACTGTGAAACCTTCAACCTGCTACTGAAGCCCCCATCCTGGAGTGGGAGTTTGCTAGAGCAGCCTTAGGAAATAAAACAGAGTTTCTAGGGAGTCCGGTAGACCTGTGACTCCTGCCTCCCGGTCTGATTCGGAGTCATGCCCGCAGTTCCACGTAGACCTCATTGCTCCAGCTCCCAGGGCGGCCTCCGAGGCAGAGAGCGCCCACCCCACACGGTACTTACTACTGTAAGTCACGCCCTTGGAGACCTTAGTAGGTAAGATCTTGGACATCAGGGTAGAGGAGGAAGTGCTCACTGCAAACCTTGACATTGGCTAGAGAATTCCGACCTGTGGAGCAACAACACACTGCTTGAGTCAGGTGGTCCCCTGCTCCCTGCTCCCTGCCCCCTGCCCCCTGCTCCCTGCCCCCTACCCCCAGGGCGGCTGAAAGCAGCTGCTGTTTACTGAGGGCTCAGCTAGTGGGCAACTTCTGCAGCTCCTTGCCTCCATCCTCTCTCACGTCCTTGACTGTTTCCACCCGCCCTGCCCAGTCTTTCTGCTCCCAGAGCTCCCACACCCAGATCAGAGCTGAAGCGTCACCCCTTCAGAGAAACATTTTCTCAAGCCCCAGTCGCTCCCGTGTGACCTTTGTTTTCTTCTCTGCAATTACTAGTATTTGATTTATCACTTAAAAAAATCAGTTTATTGCCTGTCTCCCCCTAGAACGTAAGCTCCATGAGAATGGGGGCGGGGGGGGGAGGAGGGTGCGTGATGCACTGATTAGCAGCCACGCGCTTATCAAGCGCCCATCGCCACCTTGGCACTTAACTATTTACTGAACAGGCGCTTTCACTTTACATAGGAAGAAGCAAAGCAGAGATTCAGCGAGCTGCGCAAAGACACACAGCCAGAAAGGGCCGAGGTTGAGACTCCAGCCCAAGATTCCTTGACTCTAAAGTTTGCACCCTTCCAGCCGCATTCCTTTTGCAGCCTCCACGGAGAGGAATCGGGTACCGGGAGGCCCGGACTAGCAGGGCGGGGGCCTCCTAACCCCCCAGCTGCATGGACCTGGAGGGCTGGGGGGGATGGCTAGATGGATGGGTAAGTGACACAGCCCGTACAAGGCGAGTAAGGAAGTGGGGAGCCTTGCAAGGGGCTTGGAGGGGCGCCTGAGGGGTCCCCGCTCGACCCCGCGCGCCACACACAACCCCAGGCCGACCCCGCGCGCACCCACCGGCCCCGCGCTCCTGCGCTTCGCTCGAAGCCTCCGCGCCGGGCCTTCGGTTTACGTCGCCGTGGCAACCGTTCACGGCCGGCCGGGCTGCGACGTCACAGCGGCTGTCAGAGCTCCGGAACGAAGTGCTGGGCCGGCTCTGTTAACCAGTGGCTGAGGCAGGAGAGCGCACGGTTCTGAGAGGGTTTTTCTCGGGCACCACGGGTTGTAACGCGGCTTGGGGAATCCGGAAAATAGGCGAGAAAAGCCAGTACCTTGTTATCAGCAGGTGAGCTTATGTATGAACCGTCGGGAGATTTCCGTGAAGCCTCGGAGAGCAGAGCGTTTCTGTGCTCTGCACAAACGCGCCCACCTCCTGCGGCCGCCGGGCTTCCCACGGAGTCACGGCAGAGCCGGGGGCAGAGCTGACAGGCAGGGACGCTGTCTTCGCTCGGCTAGCACACACTGCCTCTCACTGGGAATTGTCTTATAATTTTGTGCAATTATCCAAAACAATGACGCATACTCTGAAAAAAGGCCCAGGAAGGACAGAGGCTGACCTCACAGAAAGACGCCCTCGCCCACTGCGTGTGTTCTGGTCTCTGCTTCCGCTGCGAAAGAAGAAAAACCCTCCCGAAAGCCTGGCCTGCTTTGGAACGCTCAGTCTCAGCCTAACCCATCTAACCGGATGAAAAGTGTGGATGAAAAACGTCTCCTGCCATTAAGCAAAGGATGTTTTGGCCATGGAGCCGTCAGCCACTGCAGCCCCCTGAAGGGTCTCAGGATGGGAAGGAAAACCAGGACACTGGCCCTAGACAGCCGAGGTGCACATCAAAGGAATGATTTTAATGAGCCCAGACTCTTGCATCTTCCCATACATAGAATAGCGCTAAACTCAGTCACTTGAGATGTCTGGTTTTCTTGAGTTAACTGTAATCTTTGGATGTTCCGTTGTGCTGCTCTGCGTGGTCACAGACTGCATCCTCTGGGTCCATCTGCCAACACTTCCTAGCCCTGTGCCCCCAGATCCTGGGTAGGTCCAGTGGGTGAGAGAGTGGAGGGCGGGAGACATGGGGGAGCCAGGGCATCTATCCCCTTCCTCTGCTTCCAATGGCTCCTCGCCATGGCTGCCTCAGTGGGCCTGCCATGGTTCCAGCCTGGCCGGGAGCCCTGGCTTCTGGGCCAGAAACATCACCTTCTCCCTGGGCCTGCTGCCTGCTCTTGCTAATTTCTGATGGCTTCACCGTTCAGTCCAATTTTGGCAACTAGTTACTCCCGCCATGTGTATAGCCAGTGCCCTGACTGACACCCATGGGACAGAGGCAGGAGACCTTGGTGACCCAGGGCATAGGGTGGGACATCAGTCCAAGCTGCCTCCAAATCCTAGCTCTGTCCCTCACTGGCTGTGTGACCTTGGGCAGTTTCCTTTAGTGCTCTGGGCCTCTGTTTCTCCATCTAAAAAGTGGGAACAATAATAATGACCTGGGCGGAATGTTGTACGGTTAGTGCAGAACCCAGCACCTAGTTAGGCCTCATAAATGCTGATCTGCCTGTGTCACAGAATGGTCTGAGGCATGTGTGACTGGGGAGATCTACAGGCATCCCAGCACGGTGGCCATGGTCTCTGTGAGGAAGCTGGGGATCAGAGACATGAAGCTGTTTGTCCACAACTACAACCCATAGGAGGCAGACCGGGGTTCAAACCTAGGCAGTCTGACTCCACAGCCCAGCCTGTTAACTACCATGCATGCTTCTTCCCACCTGCCTAGGGAGAGACAGTGTTCAGGTGGCTAGGGAGGGCCAGATCATGGGGCCTCGCTGGAGAGGGACTCTGTCGGTTGCTCAGCCAGGCAGCATCCCTCCCCAGTCCTCCCTGTGTTTGTTGGCCTCTGGTGGCCTGACATCTGGGCCCACATAACTCAAGCTGACTTTAGAACCCTCTCTCAGGTGTGTGCAGCTCACGGAAGCAGATGTGGGTGGCCCTGGATACATCCACTGATACCCCTTGGATGTCCGGGGGCTTACAGTGGAAGCAAGAAGGAACAGCCCTGCAGCCAGCGGACATGCGGGAGAGTTCTCAGGGACTCCCACTCAGGGCTGGACAGGCACTGAGGGGGTCAGACGCCTCGCTCACCCAGGCCTCTTGCGTCCAGTTCTCCTTTTTCTCCTCCCTCAGCTCCAAGGTTGCAGGATATAAGGAAAGTCTACCCCATGGTGTGCTGTGCTTTTCATGGGCCACACGGACCACGCATGCCGCTTCTGAGTCACCTACTACGCGTGGCCGTTGGCCACCATTCCAGCTGTGGTCTCCCTGTCTCCGACTGCTGGTGCCGGGGAAGCGGTCAAGTCCTGGAAGGGAGTCTGAAACACCATCCTACCTCCCTCTCAGGGCCCTTCCCCCTCCCACCCCAGTGCCCTCATGGGCCCTTGCAGGGCTCTGGCCTGGCATGATTTTTATGTCACCATTATCAGACTGCTTTCCTGACAGCTCAGGTGGACAGCTCATTTGATTGGCGTCTGGGGAGAGCGCAGGGTGAATAGTGTTAAGGTCTTGGGGCCCAGAGTCAATTCAGTTGCATCACAGAGCATCACGAAGGGTGCACAGGCCTGAACAGGGCCGCAGGGGAGTAGGAGGAGCAGGAAACTGTGAGCCTGAGTACCATCTGTGGCTGGGTGCAGAGTGTGTGGCGGCGAAGGCGCTGTTGTGAAGGAGGACCCAGGTGGCCCCAGGAAGAGGCAGGCAGGTGGAGGCCAGGCCACAGAGGGCTGGTCAACCGTCATGGGGGCCTTTCATCACTTGCAGGGATCACAAAGAAGGCAAAACCCCATCAGATCTGCTGGGACGAGGGGATGGCTGGTGCACAGACCGGGTAGGTGTTAGGTGTGGGCGGAGTACAAGTGGGCAAAGCAGCGGGTGCGCGCTGCCTAAGCCACCACTAGGTGTCGTCCTGCACCAGTTTGAGTACCAGTCCCTGGTGAATGCCCTTTCAGCCCAGGAAGATTCACAGGAGGGAACCTTTTGTCCCAGGCAGCGGCGAAATGTTCCGGGTGACGCAGGCTGGTAAACAAGTTCAAGAGAAGCTGCGCCCAGAGCGCACGTCAAGGTGGGAGCGCGCAAACGCGACCTTGGCACTGGGCGAGCCGGTCCCGCGGTTCCACGTCTTGGCCCGGGGTGGAGCGCAGCGCAGGGGTCCCGGCTCGCCTCCTCGGCGCCCCGCGGATGAGGAACGCGGCCACCATGGGCTCTGCGTCCAGCGGGGGACCCCAGGGCGCCCCTCCGGACTGCTGCAGACTGCCGGGGGGCGGGGAGAGGGGGGTAGAACGTCGGAGTCTGTGCGGCCCCTTCGCGCAGATGCGAACGCCCTCACTCTCCTGCCGCCTGGCTAGCCTGTTGGGAAATCAGAAGCTAGTCTCCGACTCCAGCCCCAGCCCAGTGTCCCAGCCTTGGCTCCTCCAATCACTTTTATTCCCAGTCCTGTGTCAGGCTCACATTTTAACTCCATCCTCCCCACACACTAACCAGAGGCATTTTTATCCCAACTCTGTTGGGCCTTTTAGTGATAACCTCATTTCCAACGCCAAACCCTCATCTTCTGACACTAGTCAGAGCACCCCTGAAACCAACAGCAATAAAACCTAACCCAACCCCAATCTGAACCAACTCCAAACCCAGCCCTGGACTCGTAGGCACTTAAAACACGGAAAAAAAAAAAAAACAGACAATTAATTCACAAGTACATTGTGAGTGTAGAAAGCCCAGTGACACCAGTGAAGGAGGGCAAAGTGGAGGCTGTGGTGTCCGCCCCATCCTGCATCCCTCAGGGACCCTCAGCTCTGCAGCAGGCAGGCATCCTTTAGGGGATGGGATCATCACACCCACACCTGGATGGGACTTGCTGTTCCAGCAGCCTGTGGAGAGACTGCTTGCTCCTCTCCCAGCCTGGCCATGCCCGGTGAAGCTAGGAGACTTTCCCTCGCAGGCTGAGGAAGCAGTGGCCAAGCATGTCTGTGTGGAAGGGCAGGTCCACTGGAGACTCCGCCCCGCTGCTCCCAGTTTCCCTCTGCCCTTCTGCACACACCTGTACGGAGTGGTTGTCTCTATCCAAATCCAGATCGGTGCTGCTGAGTTGCCCTCTGGTTGTGTTTTTTGTTTGTTTGGTTTTGTTTGCTGTGCCAATTTCACCTCCACCAATGGTGTAGGAAAATGTTAACTTCTTCCACATTTACCGGCGCTGAGTATTATCAGTCTTTCTCATTTTTGCCCACTTGATGGGGAGAAAATCCCAAGTATCACTTCAATACACATTTCTCAAGGGCCTGTCTGCATCCTCCCGAGCAACTGTGAAGTGTTTGTTCAGCAACTGTCTATTTACACCATGTAATGAAAATCAGCACTTCCCTGCCCCCTCCCCACATTCCTCTGGGTGCTTCTTCCAGTATCTTTCTTCATATTTCTAAACGATATGTTTAAACTGTGAGTTCTCGATATATCAGTTTTAGATACACATCAGTCCGCTCCCTGCTTTGGGGGAGATCTCATTTCCGGGCACAGCCCGGGAGCTTCTATTCATCAGCCTCCCACTGTCATTGATTCAGGGTGGGGGTCAGTCTTTACTTCACCTTGTTCCGACTGCATCAGTGTGGGTCCCTTCTGAGACGTCCTTGTACTTCTTCTGTTTTTCCTGAAATTGAACACACCATTTTCCACCTTCATCTTTCCTTTTTTTTGAATTATGAAATACGGAAGTTACACAGAAGGCTGTATAAATATTATGTACAATTCAAAGAATAACAATTTTAAAAAGAACAGATATCCAGGTTACAAACCAGACTGCTGCCAGTTCCTCAGAAATCCCCTGGTGTCCCCGTTCTGACCTTCTAGACGTGTGTCCCCTGGCTTTTAGTGTTGTCATCCACGTATGCATTCCGAGAGGATGTGTAGTCCTGCCTGGCACCTGGCGGGTGGACGTTGTGGGAACCAAGCGTTTGCCCTTGTTCTGGGGGACCAGCCCTGCCGCTCAGCACGGGGAGGTTTGCCTCCACGGACGCTTGTGCCTGTGGCTCGCCACTTCCACCCCGACGTGGTGGCATCTCATCCTACGGATGCAGCACAGTTTGTTGATCTGCTTCATCTGGATTTCGTTCATTACAAACAACACTCCTAAAACCGACTTTGCTGTGTCTCCTGAGGCACAGATAGGAGAGTTTGTCTTGACTGAGTGAAGCTGCGTGGTCAGAAGACGCGTGTCTGTTCCGCTTTCCCGGCTGGTCCTAGGCTGTTTCCACAGTGGTTGTGCTAGCCTGCACTTCACCAACACGGATTTAAGTTCTGTGGGGTCGACGGCCTTACCAGCGCTCCGGGTTGTCTGGCTGTAATTTCTGCAGGTCTGGTGGGACCCCCATCTCACTGTGGGTTTAGTTTGCAAGAATCCTTTCCATGTGCTTCTTGGTGCTCAGCCTCCCTGTTTCATGAAGTGTCTCTGGAAGTCCTGACTCTTCTTATGGAGCCGCTGTCTTCTCCCTGTCGACTTAACAGGAGTTCTCTGTACTGTGGACACTCATCCCTTGTCATATTTGTGTGTGACCAACATCTTCGTTCTCTAAAGACTTTACAGAGTTGCCTTCACCACACTTTTGTCTCTAATCCACCTGGAAATTACTCGTGTGCACAGTGTGAGCTAGAGGCTCGATTTTACTTCTCCCCCGCTGGCTAGTGGATTGCTGCGGGACCATATTATCAAAGTCTGTCCTTCCCCCGTCTGCACTGTGATCGCGGCCGTGTATGAAGGGTCTATCTATACATATGCCTCCGTCCAGGCCCTATTTTATTCCGTTGGTCTCATTGCATCCATTTCATTGAAATGTCATGATCATTCGTTGTTACAGCTGCTCTAAATATCGTTTCCTCAGGGCACAAGATACTCCAGCAGTGCCTTAGGTGTGGGTGTTTCCCTGCGTAGATCCCTCCGGGAACTGCCCACTCTCCTGCTCTTACCCAGATCTCTCGGCCTCCTGGGTAGTTCTCACGTTAGGACTGCCTTTCCTCCTTCCAGGCAAGAAAATGTCTTCTGCTTCCCTGATCTTTCTGGTTTTGGTGGAAGATTCTTCTAGTGGATTTCTGAGAGAAAGTCACAGGAGGTAAACTTTAGAGAACTTGCATTTCCAAACAGTCACCTGATTGACAGCTTAGCTGAGTGCAGAATTCCTGACAGGAGTAACTTTTCTCCTTGGATGTTGAAGGCCTTTTGCAGCCCCCCATGACACATAATATGCCCCACCCCTGATGCTCTTCCAGAGCCTTCCTGCTCTCTGTCAGGACAACTGACCCCTGAACCTCGGCGGGCCTTGGGGACTGCCTTGACGGACAGAAGGTGGCAGAAGTCAGGTTGTAGGACCTCCCAGGGTAGGTCAAGAGCCATGGTAGGGTTTCCTCCTGGCTCTCAGGCCTGGGAACCAGCCTCCGTGCTGCGAGGAAGCCCTGGCCACGTGGAGAGGCTGTGAGTGGGTGTCCACCTGGTCACCCCAGCTGAGACCTCAGCCAAGACTCAGCATCATCCCCAGGTGTGAGTGACCAATCTTTCAGGTAATTTCAGCTCCCAGACTTCAGATCATCCAGCTGAGCAGAAGTGTACCGTCCCCGCTGAGCCCACTCAATTGAAGATTTGTGGGCAAAATAAATGTTGTCACTGTTATGAGTCACTAAGGTGTGGGTATTTGTTTTGTAGCCTGTGCGACTGCCCCCCACTCCCAGTGCTTCATGCCAGCGACTCGCTAAGCAGCCTTGAGGCTGTGCCGAGAAGTCTGCATTCCCTGCCCCTGAGGAGATCGTGATCTAGTCGGTCAGTCTGAATGTACTTTAAGCTGATGTGAAAGAGAGGGAGTACCCTACACGTTCCCGGCGCCCTGACGTCTGTTTGTTTCCAGCAGCACACTTGGATTCGGAGCTCTCCCGAAGGATGGAGGACCAGCGGTGGGTCTGGCTAGTGACCTGGAGGTGGCTGGGGGTGGAGGGAGAAGCCCTGGGAGGCCTGTGCTGGCCCCGGGATGTGCGGCAGCCTCCCCCGCCCGCCTCACCTCTGCCTGCTCGCGCCTGGCACCGGGCGCCCCAGGAAGTGCGACCTCGTCCTTCCTCAGCTCGGTCCGGGGCTGCAGCTTAGGGCACATTTGCTGAGCTGAGCTGAGGAGCCAGGTCTTGAGGCTTCAGGAGGCAAGATCCAGACATAGGGGCCTGGCAGAGCCGCTGGGCTCCGGAACCTTCACAGCTTGCTGACAACCACGAGTGCAGCTGTAGCTGTGTGGTCACCATGGACCCAGATGAAGCAGGAAGGGGAGGTCACCCGGGGAGGAGCGGGTACTGTGCGGAAGCCCTAGGGAACCCAGAACTGGGCCCAGCTGGGTCCCTATCTGCCCTGGCATGAGTCTGGGCCGGTGCTGGTGTTGGTGCCAAGGAGGTGAAGCTTCAGAATGCCTCCTGAGGTTGGGCCCCTGCCCGAGTAGGGTGGGATTACTCCCCGGCCTTCAAGAAAGAATCCTTGAGCACTTGCCAGCAGCTGGGCATGCCTAGAATGCAGCCAAGAACAAAAGAAGCAGAAACCCCTCCCCTCAGAGAGCTAATCTTCTCTTGGAGAGAGATGGTGGGCAGCCGTCAGGAGGAGAGGTGGTGGGGAAGCCAGGCCTGACGAGGGCTGGGAGGGTGGGTGGGTGCGGATTAGTTCTGGAGGGGAAGGCGCCCTTGGGACAGAGACCGTGGGGGTGAGGGCGTGAGTCCACCTCCTCTAGGAGAAGAGGACCAAGTAGAGGGCGCCTCCTGAGGGGAGCCGGATGGGAATCAAGGGAGGGCACTGGGTGTGGCTGGTGAGAGGGAGCTAGAAGGAGGGAGCCGGCATGGATGGACAGCGCCTCCAATGTGCCAGTTTAAATGAATATGAAAACTTCATACATTTCAAAATAAAACACCCAAACCCCAAAAGCTTCCTGGGAATGAGAAAGACTTTTAAAGACTGCAAGCTTCAAAGTTACCCTCAGAGCGACAGAAACCTTCTGGGAAAGAAGACAAAAGGGTTTCACAACCACTGTGTGGGTTCTTCTGCCAGAGGCAGAGGCTGCTGCAGACTCCCAGCCCAGGGCCAGGAGGTTCCTCGAAGAGCAGGCATTTTCTTCTCCATTGCACAGAGGAGGAAAACTGAGGCCCAGAGGGGTCAAAGCCTACGAGGCCACACGGCCAGCGAGGCTCTGAGCCAGGCGCAGCTGCCTGGACACTGCTCTGCCTTCCAGGGGGTCAGCAGCCCCCAGAGACCCTACTGCAGGCCCACCTCCGTCATCAGGCATCCCTCCGGGCAGTGCTCGCCTCCCCCAGGCCACTGGCTCCTTACCGCTGCTGCTGAACACTCCAACCCCTGCTGGCCCACCCCTCTCATGAGGGCCCAGTGCTCTGTTTTCTTGACAAAGTCTTCCCTCAGGGCGGGTTTGTGACTTTCCTGCCTGAAAGGTGTGGCTTGTCAAGAGCCGGGGCCCCAGTTCGAGCTGTGTGGCCTGGGGGGATTCAATGCACCTCTCTGTGCCTCTGTCTCCCCCTGCACACAAGGACCGTGAGGGGACTGGCTGGAGTTAGGCGAGTCAAAAGGAGCCGGGGGGCCTGTTCCAGATTCACAGGTGGTGCTGCTTTGCCTCAGACCTCAAGAATCTGGACTTGGTCTGGTTGCTCCCTCACGTATCCCATCCCTCCCGTGATGCCCCCACTGCTGTGGCGACACTGAAGCCCCCATTTTGCAGCTGCTCCAGGCTGCCTGCCTCCTCTTCCCTCAAGGCTGCTGCCAGCTTCTCAGCAGGGCTTCTCCCACTGCCCATTCCAAACTTCGGCCCATGCCTCCTGCCGGCCCGTGGGACGGCCTCGCCTCTCTACCGCTCATTTCTCCAAAGCCTGCCTCCCTTCTGACCTGTCCTGTGGCTTACTGCCTGGGTCTTTGCACTGTTTCATCTCCCCCCGCAGAAGGCAAGCTCCAGAGGGCAGGAGTCTTTGCCTGTGTGTTTGCTGCTGTGGCCCCAAAGCCCAGGCGGCACCCGGCCCCTGGCGATGACTCTGGGTAGTACTGGCTGGACTGTGGATTTCAGAATCAGGTGAGTGTCTCCTGAAATGCAGAGCCTCAGGTCCCAGATCAGCTCTTCTGGGGTTGAGGCTTGAGACTGTTTGCCTACCTCCTGCTCTCCAGCTGGGACAGATGCTGGCACATGTTGGAGAGTCATTGCCCCGGAGGGGGCAGCCTGCACCCCAGATCCCCATGCCGCTGGCTGCGCACCCCCAGCGCCCCATCCACAGACCACATCTGACCTCTGGGGCCCTAGCTGTCTAAGCCCCTGGCTTTCCCTGGCCTTCCCACCGTGGCAACATGCCCAGTGCTGTAGGAGAAACATTTGCTTTTGCAAGAAGTGGCCACAGGCGTGGAAGAAAGTTCTAGCCAGGACCCGGACCAGATAAAGGCCCATGTCCAGGTGGTTGAAGAAGTTTTGATCTTGAGGAAGAAGGGTGGCCTGAGGCTGGAGAAGATGCAGGAACATCAGCAGAGCAGTCACCCTAAGGGGGTGGCCCTGCAGGGGAGGCAGTGGTGTCTCACCTCGCCCTGCTGTGCCCCTGCAGGAGGAGTAGGAGCTGGGGCAGGGCTGCGGGTGTGCCTGGCACTTCCAGGGTGAGGGGTTTGGAGTCTGACCCAGGAGCCTCTGCCCAGCTCCTGCACAGGGGAGTGCCGGAGGGGTAGGGGAGTCCCCACCTGCCCAAGCGGAACAACCTTAGAGAGGCCATTAGACAGTGAGTGTACGCTGGAGTCCATTTTGTTTTAAAAATGCTCATACTTCTCCGCTCAGCACGTCCACGGGACCGGCTGCAGCGGTGGTCTCTGGGAAGGGGAGCTGGGGCAAGTGGCCGGTGGGGACACTGGCTCTTCACTGAGCACCTTTCCTGCTGTTCGGCTCACTTGCTGTGCACGGATTTCACAGAAGACACTGCCTCACTGAAAACACGTGTGCAGCCGCTGGGCACAGACCAACTGCAGTTATCTCATCTCCTTGCTTATCCTTCAGGAATGAAAGCTCCCAGGAAGGAGGCCCTCGCCTCTACCATTAACCGCTTTCCCCCAGACACTTCCCAGCACACAGTGAGTGAGCAGGTGGACCATGCGTGCAGCCTGGACAGGGTGGTTTTGCAGAGGTGGATTCCCAGGGTGCCCAGCAGGCTTGGTGACCCAGGATGGAGGTGGGACCCAGAGGAGTAGGCAGGGTGCCGGTGAAACAGTCGAACGTGCAGGGACTGCTGAGGGCCTTGGGGGTCAGATCTGCAACCCCTTACCTTCCCTGCGCCCCCCTCCCTGCCCTCCCAGCCACCAGCACTGATGGCCTGTGGGGCTGATACCACCTGATGGGAGCCCGGGGCAGAAAGCTCTCCAAAATGCACTGGGATACCCTGGTCCTGCCTCTGACTGCTGTGGGCTGTGTTCTGGGCACGCCCCTCTTGCAGCCGAGGAGTCCGGATGGCAGTGCCTGATGTGAGGACCGAGAGGGCAGTGCTCACCGCCTTGGACCTGCTGACAGACCAACGGGCGGCTTGCCGCTGGTAAAAAAAAATCATCCCAGACTGTGGGCAGTGCTGCTGGTGTGGCTGTGGACAAGCAGCTGCTCATTCCACGGTGGCTCGTGGTCTGTTACTTGGGACGGTGGCAATGCTTAAAAAGCCACCATCTGCCCCCTCACCTGGGAGCCTCTCCTGAGAACCATTGCTGGTGGGAGAGGCTGTGCACCTGGCTCAGGGTCAGAGAAGGAGAGTCTCCTCTCGCAGGTGGATCATGTGCTGGCCCAGTGCTGCAGGCAGGTGCTGACGAGGAAGGAAGGGCCGGCACCCAGGCCCGACCTCACACACCACCAGAAACACTGAACCAGGATGGTGTGCATGGGCGGGGTGTGACATCTGTGCGCATCCCCGCAAGACGTGCTGCCACAGGCAGAATCCACGACTGCATCTGGCTGCATAGATAAAGGACTCCTGCAGCTCCAGGAATGTGGGAGTCACATACGTGACCACGGAGTCCATATGCCTGCCAGGAAGAGAAAGATCCAGACGGCTGCAGAGGGTAGAGGGCTGGAAGAGGCCCTGCGCAGAAGAGACACAGCTGCCGGTGAAATAAGCGAACACATTCAACCTCTCCGAACATCGAGGGGATGCAAACTAAAACAAAACTGTCACACTGGCAAAAACTGACCAAAAAGTTGTCAGTTTTTATGAATTGATATATCCGGCGCTGATGAAGTGCAGGAGATGGGGGCTGGGACTCACTGGCAGCAGGGTTAGACCATCACGGTTTCTGGAGGATGAGCTGGTCACAGACAAGCCAAATCTAACATACCCCTTGGCTCAGAAGTCTCACTTTTCAAGTTTTTCTCTAAGAAACGGGACAAGGAGACACAGGTACACTGGGGAGATTCATTGCAGTTTTGTTTAGAAGAGTGAAAACCTGGAAGCCACGTAAATGTCCCTCAAGAATGGATTTGCTAAACAGTGACACAGCCAGCTCTACAGAACTCCAGGCACCTCTTCTAAATTCCTGCTGTCAACCTATCATCACTGGCATAGAAAGAAGTGCACACGTATTCTCTTTAAAAAGACCCCAGAAGCACCCCAAGTGTCCACTGGTGGATGAGTAGAAAAAACATGTGGTCCATACATACAATGCAATATTATTCAGCCTCGACAGGGAAGGAAATTCTGACCCGCTGCAACGTGCATGAAACTTGAGGACAAGGTGCGCAGTGAGGTGAGCCGTCACAGGAGGACGGACGCTGTATGGCCCCACTCGTACGGGGGCCCTAGAGGAGTCAGACTTGCAGAGGGGTGGGCGCCAGGGGCCGGCCTGGGGTGGGGGAGTGTGTGGAGTTAGTGTTTAATGGCGACAGAGCTTCAGTTTGGGAAGATGAAAAATTTTAGAACTAGATGATGCTGACGGTTGCACAACAATGTGAGTGTAATTAACACCACTGCACTGTACACTTAAATGGCTAAGAGGGTAACTTCATGTTTTTAGCCACAATTTTTTTAAAAGGCTCTAAAACAGTTTATTTCCATATCTGTAATATGGCAAGAAATGTTAACAGTGATGTGATTATGAATGTTCTTTTTTCTTTTTTGTACCTGTCTATATTTTCTGACATTTTGGGAACTAAGAACATTAACTTTTATACTAATTTAAAACTATTTTTAAAATAGCGTGCTAAGTTGCACAGTCAGACATACATCAAAGCCATTTTTTTTCTGGTAATAAAAGTAATATATGTATTCATTGTAGAAAACCTGGAAAAGTGAAAAACATAATATTAAAGATAATTTGTAATCCCATTACTCTAATGCAAATATTTTGAAAAATCATCCCTGTAAATATTTTTATGTTTATTTCTAGTTTTTTCTATAAATCTATTTTTTCTTCACATAATCATGTGTAAAGTAATTCCTTTATAGAGTTTTGCGTTCTGCTTTTTTCACTTTAACTTTCATCAAATAGTCTTTTTAAAACCTGACTTAAATAAATAAATGATATTCCAATGCACCAGTGGGGCATAGTTCATTATCAGTTTTCCTTTTGTCGGACGTTAGCTGGTTTCCAGTTTTTCTCAGCTGTGAGTAATGTTGGGAAGAATAGTACACAAATCTAACTGGGAATCTGATCATTTCCTTGTGATCAGGCTGTAAGAGGAGACTCTGCAACTCCTGAGTGATGCACGTAATACAAGTCTGCATTCTGGGAATGTACCAGCTTAACCTCTTTCCAACAGTGTTGCAACTGTAGATGACCCTTGTCAACTGCATGGAAGGCTACCTTGTTTTCATTTGCGTTTCTTTGATCAGTGGTGAGGTTGGAAATTTGCCGTGGCATGGACTGGCCATTTCCACATTCTGTGAGCGTCTTACTTCACTTGGGCCAGTGTGTCCCTCACTGTTGTGAAGTGAAGAGGAATTCCTCCCGGCTCGGGCCAGTGGCGAGTGTCAAGCAGAGTGGCGGATCCTGCTCGGTGTCTTCACCGGAGCCCGGCCTCCTGCGAGGACTCCACCTCCATGCGAAGCCAGCCTGAGTGTGCCCATCAGTGGCCCAGTCCCCGCCCCAGCGTTGGATCCTTGTGGTTTGACCCTGGGCTCACAGGACAGGGGCCCTGGGGAATGCGGAGGAGCGAGCAGGCTCCGGTTGGCCTGAAGGACCCGTGCTGACCTTGGAGGACTTCAGCCGAGCGGGAGTGACTGATTAACCCTGTCACTCGTCCGGGTCCGCGAACCCAGAGGATCGGGCCTGGTTGGGGAGGTGCTTTCCACCTGCTGTTTCTGAACGTGAACCCGATTCCTCCCCAGCGGACACTGAGCCCGGCAGTGTACTTCCACACTCTCCATCTGTCCTTCGATGTGGGTCTCGCACGTGTCCATGCAGCTGGTCAGCCTCAGTTACCTTTTCCATGTCCAGGGGCTCTCTGGCTCTCTGAGCGCTCCTTCCCGTGGTGGCTGGTCTTGTGTCACGGATTCGCTCCCATCACAGCACCACAGAAGTGCCCACATCACTGGGAAGCAGCATGGTTTAAGTGAGAGGAGGCTGTCTGGCACGGGGAACCCTGCCTGGCATATGGCAAACCTCCGCAGGGTGGGCTTCTAGCTCCATGCCTGGTATACAGTAAGCACTTAATGAAGTTACCTATTGTATTAGCCAGAGGATCACAGGCGCTGCTCCCGGAAGGCCAGGAAGGCCAGGAAGTCCTGGGGCCATGTCAGTGGCCTGGGGCGTGCCACTTGCCCCTGGCCTCGTACCACTGGTCAGGGAGCAGCTGATTTCACCTGCCTTGCCAGAGTCTGTGCCTCAGAAGACCTGTGGGTTCAGACTTCTCCCCGCCCCCCTCAACCCCAGGACACCTCAGAGGCTGTTTCGGCCAAACTCTTGGTGGTGAGGAGAAAACAGAGACCCACAAAGGGTGGTGACTGACTCGGGTCTCTGGGTTCCAGCCCCATGGGCAGAGACACGAACTCTCCCCTCCCACTTCCCCTTCCCACTGCTGGAGACTGCATATGTGGTTGTGAGTCACTGTGGAAGAGGGCAGTGCCCAGCGAATGGGAGCCTGGGCCCTGGCCCAGGCCCTGACAGTCAGTGGCTTGGCTTGGTGGAGGCCAGACAGACCCCTCTTGCTCACGAACCTGCTGCTTCAAGTCTCCAAGCTACGCCTCCATCCTGACCCCTCAGTGCCCTGGCACGCCTGGCTTGGCCCGAGGTCTGTGGTCACTGCTTGGACCCGCAGAGCCATGCCCTCTGTCCCTCACACCCCTAACCAGGGTGTCGCAGGCTCTCCCAGAGGTGAGAGGCAAGGATGGTAAGGACCCAGTGACAGAAGTCAGGGGATGAGTGATGGCCAGGCGTCCCTGCCCGAGCTGTGCTTCAGCCTTCTCCTGCTCTGGAAATTTGCCACCCCACCCTTCCCCTGCTCCCACCTTGTCCGGGGGCCCTCTCAAGATCCTTCTGTTGACCGCCCCTTCCCAGGGTCTCAAGCCTTCTCCAGGAAGCAGCAGACTTCCCACTACCTCATTATTTTTGGGGGTGGAAACTGGGCACCACCTCCTGCTGGCTATGGGATCCTGAGTAGTGACCTCCCCATGCCTCTGTTTTCCCATCTGTAAAATGGGCTTAGTAGGAGAAGAATGACGAGGATTAAATAAAATCATGTGTCTGAAGAACGCAGCACAGCTCTGGACTTGCTTCCCGACCCCCTTTACTGGGGGCTCCTGCTCTGTTCAGCAGTGGTCCGTTAAGTTGTTCCTATGCCAAGTTGCAGAGCATTCCCAAGGACTCCTTCTTCCTCTGGCAACTTGATGGGGCAGCAGCCGGCTTCAATGAGAACCCCTTTCTGTTACATAGAGGTTGTGTAAACCCTGCACCGACCACTTTGGGATCAGGTTGGAAGGACTGCTCCAGGTGGACTGCAGGGTGGTGTGATGCCTGCAGTCCACTTTGCTGCGTCCAGCTATTCTGGCTCCATCCTGTTCCTTAGGGGAGGTCACCTGTTGGTGGGAGGGGTACAGCTTGACTGGGAGGAGCAGTGGGGTGGAGCAGGGATGCATGGTGTCCAGGAGCCAATCTTGGCAGCCTGGCGACAAGGAAAGGAAGCAGGGTCTGGAGTGAGGTAGGTCTAAGTTCCAGTTCTGCCTTTGCACTGCATTTGATGTGTGACTTTGGGTGAGCTGCTCCACCTCTCTGGCCTCAGATTTCTCTTCTGTAAAACGGGGAGGGTCAACAAGGGCATGGCTGTGCATGTGTCACAGCACTGGGCCCAGCGCACAGTGGGCCCTAACTCAGAGCATGTGGCTGTGAAGTGCCCAGCACAGGCCTGGCCTATGGCAGGTCTAACCGGGAACTGGCTAGGCTGCTTGAGAGCTCTTGCTGTGAGGCAGACAAAGTCCCTTCCTCCCCTGTGGTGGGTGTCAGCAGGAATCAGACGACTAGGAAGGTCTGAACGCTGTGATTGGCGCTGCTGCCACTGTGATATGATTCCTCAAATGAACTGGAGGGACGAGGAGCAGAGCCTCAAGCCCCGCCTGCCTGGTTGCCTGGCTCTGGTGTCAGGGATGAGCCAATGTCCACCCGACCTTGGGGGGCTGCACTGCACTGCAGCCTCCCTACCCCTCCTTCCAGCTCTGCTGGGCACTGCCCAACATGGCAGCACCAGCCACACAGGGAGCCTTACTGACAACAGGGACATAGGGAAGGCCCTCCCGGACACCCTTCCCTCCACCAGCTGGCTGTGCAGGGCTAACAGGTTGACCGAGACATGACCCAGCCCTCAAGAGCTCAGCTGTCCGTTTGTCACATGTTAATCAAGGCCCTTCAGGTGCAGGAGGGTGTTGTGAAACCAAGACGCACGTGTCCCCTGCCTTTACAGGGACTCAAAGTAATACGGGCTTACACAGCAAGACTTTTTCTGTCCTTGAAAGCCCACGCTGGAGGGGCAGCTCTGCTCTGTGAGGCTGTCTGAGTCTGGGTTCCTTCTACTGTCACTGCCCATCCTGGAGGCACTGCCCTTGTCTGCCTCTTTCGCTGTAGCCAGCACGGAGGAAGGACCGGGAAGGAGGCCGCCCTCCTCTTTGCGGGGACTTGGAGCCGCGGCCCTCATTTCAGCACACAGCCACTGCAGGTCTGGACTCTGCTAGACACAGGGATTTCTGGGACAGGGAGAACAAGCCTGTGAGGACTTTGTAAGTGAGCACACACTCAGTGGATCAACCCTGAAAGAGGCTCTGAAAAAGCAGCATGTAGTTTTGGGAGAGCAGAGACCAGATGTGAGAAAGGTTTCCCTGAGGATGCAGCATGCGACACGTGATACGGAGAATACAGGAGCTCGTGGGGAAGGAGGTCAAGGTGTCCACACAAAGGCAGCAGTGGGTGCAAAGGCCCTGCGGTCAGAGGAAGCACAGCGCACTCAGGACACCTAAGAAGCCCTGGTCAACAGAGGACACAGGCATCTTCTATGGCAGAGGTGAAGTCCCTGAGGATGGCCCACAGGAAGGAGCTGCATGGGGCTGGATTTCTACTCTGAATCAGAGATTTCTACTCTGTTCCAGGCACTTTCCTAAGTTCTGTGTGAATTAATTCACTCAATCCTAGCGGGGCCCAGACTGCCCATCAGGAAGCCCTGGGTTGGGCAGGAGCTGGAGGCTGTCAGTGGCCCATCCTCCCCGGGGGGACCCTCTGGAGGAACTGAGCAGGAAGGACACCCATGTGGCTGAGGCAGTGGGGCTCTTGTCCCCATTTTATAGGCAGCGAACGGTCCAGAGCCCTTGCTCCAACAGAGGCAGAGCTGTCCAAGAGAAAATGCTCCCTCCCCCCAGGTTGGGGCTTAAGGAAGCAAGTGGACACTGGGCAGGGCCATGGTGCCCAGAGCCTCAAACTCCAGGGCAGGTCAAGACATGTCGTCTACCGTGGTGCTGGGAGACATGGTGGAGCCTCAGCCAGGAGACCTCTCCAGCCAGCCACTTGCATCTCACTGTGGGAGGCAGAGTGGGGATGGCGGCAACGGGACAGCCACCAGTGGACAATCCCACAGAAAATGGGGCGGGGCTTGCCGGACACGGCTCTGGACGAGGCAGGTGTGGGGGTGCTGCTGACCGAGTTGGAATACCCCAGGGGGTCATGGTGTTACTGTGTTCCTCCAAATTCCTACGTTGAAGTCCTAACCCCAGGACCTCAGAATAAGATTGTATTTAGAGAAGGGGTCTTTACAAAGCTGATCAAGTTAAAGTAAGGTCGTCAGGGTGGTCTGAAGCAGTGTAGCTGGCATCCTTACAAAAGGAGACTAGGACACAGACTAGCACAGGGATTGCCTGTGTGAGGACATGGGGAGACGGACGCTGTCCTCAGAAAGAATCAGCCCTGCTGATGCCGTGTCTCAGACGTTGGCCTCCAGGGCTGCAAGGAATGACATCTGCTGTTTAAGCCGCCTGGTCTGGGTGTTTGTCACGGAGGCCCAAGCTGACTTATATGCTGGGGCAGGCTTGATGGGTTTAATTTGTGGTGCCTGGGGGCGCTTAAGGGGAGTTTTCTGGAAGAGATCCGGAGGTGGGGCAGACACTTGGCTCATGGACGGGATCTCTGCGGCCCCGAACAGGCCCCACCGTGGAGCACAGCAGAGCCGATGAGGCGCTCCTGATGGGCCAGACGGGCTGTGGCATCCTTGGGCCCCACGAGGGCTCGGCATGTGCTCTAGGCCTCCCGCGCAGGCCTCGGGTGCCTCCCGGACAGTGTGTGGGTCTGAGGCCCCACAACCGCGTCATCAGACCTGCACCCGGGCCCTGGGGTGGCACCCTCTCCCACAGAAATCTCCTCACCTGTGACGCTGGAGGTAAAAGTGGGCGTCTGTGAGGGCAGTGCAGGTGTTACTGACCTAAGAGCTGGAGGCTTCAGCAAGGGCTGACCCATCCGTCCTGGGCAAGAGGCGTTAGGGCAAAGACCAGGAGAGGGGCAGCTTCAGGAGCTCTGCCGGGCTGCCTGATTGGCAGAGGGACACAGCCACTCCCGGGGACCTCCTCACACCCTCCTATCTGCCTGTGCCTCTCCTGGGAGACGAGAGGGCTGTCGTGACCTGTGCAGACAAGCCCGTGGGGCAGAGACCCAGAGCGGTGGGCAGGGGTCACACCTCCCTTTGTAGACACGAAAGAGACACACACATCACTTAGAATTTGGTAAAAAGAAAAACAAGACAGAAATGTGGAGTGAGACCAGGCAGAATTGTATCTTTCATCTCATGCCTTTCTGCAGGGCTCGAACTTAAAATTATGCACAGGGGTTACTTCTATAAGAATTACTCAAATGAATGGCCCAGATGTCAGCCCCAGAGGCTGGGGCTTGAACCAGGGAGACAGAGAATCCCACGCCCTTGGTCCTCTCGACGATGTGGCCTCTGTTTCACAGGCTTCTTGCACTTCCCGGCCTCTGCGTGCCCTTCCCCAAGGGGGTTAAGGTGTGCTGCTCTGCAAAGGCTCTCCCCAGTCCCCAGGTGGAGACCCTTGCTGCCTCGTTCGAGCTCTTACTCACCCCTCACTGCCATCCCCCTGCTGTCCCGGGCAGAGCGCGGGGCCTGGTTCTGCAGTGTGGCTCAGCTCCAGGCCAGGGCAGGGTGGGCACCGAGGAGCACCCAGTTGTAGTGGAAGGCGTGATGACAGCCTCAGTCAGTCTCTGTCCTCCCAGTGACTTTCCCACCCGTGACTTCACCTCATCTTCAAACAACCCTGTGAGACAAGCATGATGGGATCTTGAGAAAACTGAGGTCTGCCTGGCCTGCTGACTTGCCCGCAGCCACTCGGCTGATTAGAGGGACTCGACATGGACTAGAGTCCAGGCTGGAACTCTGGCAGGTGCCAGAGACCACCATTCATGGCAGAGGCAGGGAAGAGGAGAGCCCAGGGGCACCCAGTCCCCCAGAGCTGCACTGACGTGCCCAGCCACAAAACAGAGGAAGCTGGAACCCTCGCCCCAGAGTTAAGCCCCACTTCTGTCCCTGGGGCCTTTGCCACTAGCCTGCCTGGGGGGGCGGGCTCCTGAGACTCAGACTCCATCCTGGTTTCTTCCTGATGGTCATGCCCCCCAGGGCCTTGGGCTGTTGTCCCTCAGGGCTGTACATGCCCATGGCTGAGGGTCTGGGGCCCAGGGCTTAGCTGCTTTCCCTGGAGCAGGGACAAACTGGCCTCTTGCCTGCACGTAAACTCCAGGGGCCTGCTTGATGGGGAAGGATCCAGGCTCCCACCTGCAGAACCCTCTGCCTGTATATTTGCCCAGCCCCTGGCCAACTCCATGGCCATCCCCTTATGCCTGCCCACTCCCGGCCATGAGCCCAGAACAGAGGGGTCTCCTCTGCATCCCAGCACATCGTCAATCAGAAGAGAGGGACACTGGCCAGCTAAGGGGGGAGGGCGGTTGTTGCCTCCCACCTGGGAAGAGAGGACTGCTGGGGCCCCATGGCTTGATGGTGGTCCCTTTATGCCCTGACCGCTGGATGGGGCCCTTTAAATGCCCCCAGGGCAGGCTGGAGGCCTTGGGGAGGCATGGGAAGGCTGCGAGCATGCGTGTGGGACACGGATGAGGACAGGACCACTGACCATGGTGCTAGGGACAGTGCCAGCTCTCCAGGAACTCTTCAAATACTATCAATCTGTTAAGTTTTGGAAGGAGAGAAAAGAAATAATCTCTCAGTTCACGACAGATATTTCTGAAGTGTCCTAGGTTCTGCGGATACAGCAATGAAGGAAAAAATCCAAGTATGCATTCTTAGGGAGCTTGTCAGATAGTGGGGAAAAGACAGGCAATAAACAAATGACGTAAATGTTTCTTTTTCTTTGCCATCTCTTTTGAAGAGCATCACCTGGCCTGTTTCTCTTCTTGGCAAGGAATTCCCGGCAGCATTTTTCCAGTACATTGAGGGAGTTCTCCTCCCCAAAAGTGGCCTGCTGTAAAAAGCAGAGTACATGTGGTAAACCCTATAGGCATCTGCACAGGTGGACCTTCAGGTACTTAGGCTGCCAGTACCCCCATTCACTCACTTATTCACTCATTTGTTCATTCAGCACAAATCTACTGACCCCTCCTCTGTACAGGCCCTGTGCCATGAGGGACAGCATGTGAGCCTCAATCCAGCCTGCAGGTGGCAGGGAAAGAAGGTGTGGGGCCAAGTCCTCAAGAAAGCTAAGTGTGAGCTGATATCTGAATGATGAGTGGGCTTACAGGCCAAGGTGGGTGCTAGAGGGAGGGGAGAATGAACCAGTAGGAGTCGCCTGTACAAAGCAGCTCCCTGGAAGCTAGCCAGGGGTGTTCTGGATCTCTTTGGGGAAAAGTTGTCTCCTAATTTTTCCAATGACTGACTCCTTTACCTGTCTGGTGTATAGACTCCTCAGCCCTATTTAATTTAATGTCAAGGTTAAGGCAGGGCTCCCTGAGAAGGTAACATCTGACCAAAACCCTGGAAAGGGTGGTGGAACCATGGGGGAAGTGCTTATGCAGGCAAAAGGAACAGCAAGTGCAAAGGCCCTGAGGTAGGATCTTGCCTGGTATGTTTGAGGAAGCACAGGGGCCAGTGTGGCTAGAATGATGTGAGCAAGGGGGAGAGAGGGACAGGGAAGGTCGAGATCAGTATGGGGCACCTCTGTAGGGCACTGCAGGTGGTGATTGAGGCGGGAGCCAGGGAACGTTCTGAGTCCAGGAGGGCCTTGATCTGACTCAGGTTGTAACACAAGCATCTTGGCTGTTCTTCAGTTTCTTCCTTCTCTAGTTTTATTGAGATACAACTGACACACAGTGCTGTGCAAGTGTATGGTGTACAACAGGGTTTGACTCACAGGTTTGGTGAAATGATGACTGCAGTAAGTTCAGCTAGCACCCGCCATCTCCTTGAATACAATAAAAAAGCAAAAAGAGAAAAAAGATATTTCCCTGTGATGAGAACTCAAGATCTACTCCCTTAATGACTTTCACATATGACACACAGTGTGTTAATTATATTTATCACATTGTACATGACATCCCTAGTACTTCTTTATCTTATACCTGGAAGCTTGTACCTTTTCACCACCTTCCACCCATTCCACCTCCTCACCCTCCTCTGTAAATCTGATCGCTTTTTCTGTAAGTTTGTCTTTGTTTTTAGTTTAGATTCCACATATCAGGGAAATCATACCGCACTTGTCTTCCTCTGTTCTTCAGCTTCTGACCAGCATGTGCCGAGGTTTTCTCGTGGGCTGAAGCTATGGGTGTGTCTTTGTTTTCAAGCTTCTTCTGACCTTCTGGTGTGGTTTTCCACGAGGTGATGAGGGGCACTGGGCTGGAAGTGTATGAGGGGTGAAGGTCCAGTGGTGGGCAGAGATATAACTGGCTCCCACCTGCACAGAGAGTTATGGAACCGTCCATACCTCTGTCTCTTCTATAAAAACAGGGGATTCTGTCTGTTCTGCTGATGCTGACATAAAGGTTCAGACAGTTCAGACAGCGTCATCACCATCCTCATCCTCATCCTCCAAATCCTCCCCAAGCTTCCGTCTGGCTCATGGTCGCTCCATCCCTGGCACTGCTGGGTACACAAGGAGGGCCCCCGGATGCAGAGTCGAGCGCCGACACGGACGTAGGAGCCCAGATCCACGCATTCCCGAGAGCCTGGAGGTCCTTCCTGGCTATGAGTTCTCGCCCTAGCAGTGTCCGGAGAGGAGCAGAAACGCTCTCCACCTCCCAGGCCAGGAAGGTAAAGGATGCAAGCTCCGTAGAAGGAGCTCCCTGCGTTCCCCACCCCGCCCCCGCCTGATCGTCTGGGCAGACAGACCGGCCTTCTCACCCCTCCTCACCAGCTGTGCGTCCGGAGGATCGCGGCCTCAGAGTTCGTCTCTTCTGCAAGGTGCTGGCGAGGATCCCACAGGCGTGGGTAAAGGGCGCGCGGCACCCTCAGCTCGCGCGTCTCCTGGGCGGGTCACGC